GTAAGGATGCAGAAGGCAACGGGGAACCACTGCATTAAAGACTCTTAGAGTACCCCTAGTAAAGTCATGAATGGCAAATGACAAGTAGAGTAAACAAACTTACTGATTATGGAGCACGGAATCCAAGATCCGGCAGGGGAGGAATAACTGTAGATCACAGGGCCTCCCAGGTCGTAAACCAGAGAAATCCCTGTGGACTTAGGACATTGAAAATAGCAACCTGGAATGTCAGAAGTTTATATGCAAGTGGTAAACTAGCGAACGTACTGCTTGAAATGGAAAACCTCCAAATTGATGTTTTAGGTATAAGTGACGTACAGTGGACAGGTTCAGGCAAACAAATTACAAATAATGGAACCATGTATTATTGAGGTAACAACAAAGTCAATCATCGTTACGGTGTTACTATCTTAGTTGCAAAAAAGGTAAATTACTCTGTGGGGTAAGTTTTACTCCTTATTCTGATAGGATCTTATCAATACAACTACAGTCTAAAAAAGGTATAGTAAATTTTATTCAAGTTTATGCTCCTACGGCAGATAAAGATGACGACGATATCGAACTGTTTTACCATGATTTGGAACAAGTCTTAAAATCAATGAAAAAACATCACACTACAATAGTAATGGGCGACTTCAATGCCAAAGTTGGCCAGGGAAGAGTGGATGGATATGTGGGGGAATATGGTCTAGGAAATAGAAATGAACGTGGTGACCGTTTGATACAATTTTGCCAGACGGAAGAATTTGTAATAGCTAATACACTTTTTAAGCTACCAAAAAGAAGGTTGTATACATGGAAATCTCCCGGTGATACAACGAATAGAATAATCCGAAATCAAATTGACTTTGTCCTTATTAGACAAAGATTTCGTAATTCTATACTGTCTGCCAAAACTTACCCTGGAGCAGACTTCTTTTCAGACCATAACCCCATAGTAGTCACATTACGAACCAAATTAAAACTGGTTAAAAAACCCACACAAAGTAGAATTGATATTAAGAGATTAAGGGAACCACAAACAAAGGAACAAACTGTAAAAACTCTTACTGAAAATATACGTAATGCCCAAGAACTGAATAAAAGTAGCTATAACATTGATCAGAAATGGGAAAATATAAAAGCAGCAATAATTAAAACAGCAAATGAAAACTTAAAACCAAAGAATAGAAAACATAAAGATTGGATGACTGAAGAAATACTACTATTAATGAATGAAAGAAAATCATTCAAAACAAAAAATCCAATTAAATATAATGAAACTAATCGATTAATAAAAAAGAGAATAAAAGAAGCTAAGGAGAGAATGTTACATGAGCAGTGCCAAGAACTAGAAGAAATTGAGAAAAAATATGACTTTTTTAACATGCATAAAAGAATTAGAGAATTAACAGGAATGAGAAAAACACTTCAAACTAGGCAACTAAGAGATGAAAGGGGTGCACTTATAACAGATATAAACCAAAAAATGCAGAGATGGACACAATATATAGCACAACTATTTGAAGACAAAGAAAGAACCGAAGCACCAAAAGAATTTAAGGATGATACTGGGCCTGACATTATACGAGAAGAAATTGAATATGCAATGAAACAAGCTAAAGATGGTAAATCTCCCGGGCCTGATGAAGTTCCTATCGAATTACTTAAAATTGTGAATACTGAATCTACTGATCTTCTTTTGGATCTATTCAATACCATATATAGAACAGGTATAATACCTAAAGAATGGCTCCAATCAACATTCATACTGCTTTCCAAAAAAGCCAATGCAAAGGAGTGCAATGAACATCGCACCATAGCCTTAATGAGTCATGTCTTGAAATTGTTTTTAAAAGTAATTCACAATAGAATACATAAGAAATTAGATGAAGGCATAAGTAATACACAAATGGGATTTAGGAAAGGTCTGGGAACACGAGATGCACTGTTTGCAGTAAGTGTTCTTTCGCAGAGATGCTTAGATATTAATCAGGAAGTATATGCCTGTTTCATTGATTTTGAGAAGGCATTTGACAGAGTGCAGCATAATCGACTTAAAGAAATTTTATTAAATAAAAACATGGACAGTAGAGACATTAGAATCATCTGTAACCTCTATTGGAATCAAACAGCAAAAGTGAAAGTTAAAAACGAACTGACCAAGGATATCCAGATTCGCCGTGGGGTCCGCCAAGGGTGTATTTTATCACCCTTGTTATTCAATTTATACAGTGAAGCCATCTCAGAATTAGCGCTTGCCGAGATCAGTGAGGGCCTTATAATAAACGGTGAGCCACTTAATAACATAAGATATGCTGACGACACCGTCCTTTTGGCAGGAACACTAGAAGAACTGCAACACCTTGCTGAACAACTAAATATATATTGCAACGATTATGGACTAAAAATCAATTTGAAGAAAACCAAGTTCATGGTATTTACAAAAGCACAAAACATCAAAGTTAAGCTAGTACTAGATAATACAGAAATTAAACAAATATCTTCGTACAAATACCTTGGAGCATGGATCACAGAAGATACTGATCAGACAAAAGAAATAAGATGCCGCATTGAAATTGCGCGGTCAACTTTTAATAGAATGAGAAAACTTTTTTGTAATCGCGATATCAATATATCGCTCCGGATAAGAATGCTTTGTTATATTTTCTCTACCATTTTGTATGGAGTTGAAGCTTGAAAACTTAAAAAATCCAACATTAAAAACCTAGAAGCATTCGAAATGTGGTGTTACCGACGCATTTTGAAAATATCATGGATGGATCGCAAAACAAACGAACAAGTTCTCGAACAACTAGGAAAACAATGCGAAGTTTTAAATTCCATAAAGATCAGGAAATTGGAATACTTGGGGCACATCATGAGAGGTGAAAAGTACGAACTACTAAGGAATATAATGCAGGGTAAAATCAAAGGTAGAAGAAGCGTAGGAAGACGTAAAATCTCGTGGCTACGCAATCTCCGTGAGTGGTTTGGATGCAGTTCAATTGAACTATTCAGGCGAGTAACCAATAAAATTATAATTGCCAGAATGATTTCCAATCTCCGATAGGAGTGGAACTTGAAGAAGAAGAAATCAAACGTAGCTTAGGAATAGACCGCTTATGTATGTAACGCTGCAATATTTTTGTGTTTAATCACGGACCTACCGCTTTTTCCGACCCATCCAACTTAATACGTTGGAAAGAAATCGAAAGACTGTGACGCACTGAAATGAGGCTTTAAGAAGAACTAAAGTCAAAAATATTCTACGTTCTTTATTTCGTTCTTCAATTGCCGCCTTACACCCATCATCAAAACATTGTTCATTCATCCTAGCTTTAGTTCCTAGCATCGATTTTGCTGTAGTTAATGTGATTCTATTTATTACGTTCCACCAGTCTTCTAATGTTTTCTCTTCATATTCTGTCAGCTTTCATTTTATTTCTTTTTCAAATTTCTTTTGAGTTTCGTGTCTTTTCATCTATCTAGATCTAGAATTTCTTTTCTTGGTTGATTCTCCTTTGCCTGTCACCTCATCCTGCATCTGATATGTACCTGAAATAGTAGGTGGTCTTTTAACATCCAAATTTCTTGTTGCTGATCGCTTTTCTAGCTGCAAAGTTAATATTATATTGGTCGTTTTCATTCGGGCCTCTCTATGTAGGCATGTCGTTTTGAAGAAATAAAACAAGCATTACATACCATTATATATTTACTTCAAAGATTATACATTCATCATACAAAAAAATATCCAAAGGGCTCTGACCCGCGCGTATGTTTCGCTAAAAAAAGCTATAAAAATACAACAGGGCTATAAAAAATTGCAAAAAGCATCTTAACACTACGGATATGTAAAAAATAATCGGTATATTTATATGTTGAGCTCCTAAGTAAAGTAATAAATGCAACAACTGGTAAATAGACATAAAGTTTCTGCCCAGACATCTTTTTTTTCATTTGTGTCTACAGACAAAACGTTTTTATTGTCTACAGTGATCGGTACACGCTGCAATACTATACATCATATACGTATCAATGACAGTTGACTTGTAACTCAAAAGACAGTTGACATGTAACTATCATTATCACTGTTCTTATATATGTCAGTAAATGCCACAATAATACAGAGATATTAAATGTGAAACTTTTTAAATTATGAAATATTGTAAGTGATTTCAAGTCTTTTATGGAAATGAGTGTATAAAATATATCATGTTGATAAAAAACGCTTTGTTTGTACACTTAGAGGTAGTACGACAATGAAAACCGTTATTATAAAAAATACATATACTTATTAGTACAGAATACACCCTATGTACACAGAAGTGACACTTACAAATAGAGTTCACCATGTACTACTTTACGCTAGTAGGTCTAGCACCCCACAGAATGTGTATTCTCCTAAAGAAAACCACATATTTACAAAAAAATATGCTCAAAAACCGGCATGGTAAATGTTTCGAAAGGAAGGCCATACGGTTTTGGCAGTTGCGACTTTTTGGCTAGTGTTATTCTGGGTTTGACTTAAAAATAATTTCAATAACATCACATTCAATACTTACTTGTATAATATAAGGAAAAACTATCAACTACTGTAAATAAATAGACTTTAGGAAATAACGTGCACAAAAATTTCAAAATAAAATAAAAATATAACAATATTACGCATCAGACTGGACACAGTTCTTTACCAATACAACAGAAGGGAAGTTTCGTTTACCGTTTTTACCTTCATTTTTCTAAGTCAGTAGGTATATACAAAGAGAGATGAGCAGGAACTCATGATATAAGATATAAGTAAGGCGGTAAGGGATTGTCTTAGTTCTTAAAGTGAAGAAAAAGTTAAAATGAATCCCCTTATTTCTTATATATGTTACATTATTGTTTTTGTTTGTCAAATACATTATTATTTCCACCAGAATGAGTGTTTTTACGCAGGCGTACAAAGATAAGCTCGTAAAGAAATTATTTTATGAAATAATTTGAATTTAAGTACATTGAGGTTAGGTTAGGTTAGGATTACTGTCATGGATCATAAAACTGATTCTGTCACTTATTGCAAACGTCTGTGATTAAACTTATTAGTGGACATAAAAATATATCTCTACCAATAGATAAACTTAGTACTTCTTTTTGGATAAAAACATATAATAACGCATTTAAAAAAACTACATAGGTTTAAATTTAATCTTACATATAAAATAAAATAAGGTTAAGTTAGGTTATATCGAATCTCCTTCTGATCAAGAAATCATCCCTTCTATTGCATTCGACATGTAACTTCTATAAATAATATAAATATTGCCTCGCTTAGAGTATTAGCAGTACGTATTTAGTACTCCCATTGGGTGGCACTTTCGATATTGGTGTCGCCTATACGGAATACGCCGTTTTTGCTAGCTGTTAGGTAATTTCCAGCAGAAGTCTTGATGCAGAGACGTGTTGGTTCTCTCAATTCCAGGTAGAATCCCTCAGGGGCGTCAGAATCGGCAGTAACGGATTCGCTATCGGCGTGCCAGTATTTACCACTTTGAGCTAAAATGAAAAACGTTTTTTTATAAACATGTGATAATTTATAAAACTTGCGAACGTAGTTGCTCAAGACATGAGTATTTCAACGTTAAAGAGTCATTAGCCCCAGAATGTGTATTATAAGACTTCAAGGATGTTTTTTCAACCATAGTCTAATTACTTCGCATGGCCTGACAGAAGAGACAGAAGATAACGTTAAAAAAGTGTTTTATGATAAAAATCATATAAAAATAATCTATGGAGATTTAAACGCAAAAGTTAGAAGACACCAAATATTCCACAATAAGTAAGCACAACTTCCATGAGCAATCAAATAACAAATGACAATAGCAATAGGTTAATAAAACCTAGCAAGATTACTAACATGCTTGCCAGCACATACTTCCCTCGACGAGATATACATAAAGGCACCTGAAAATCACAGTAAATATAATAGATCATGTTATTGTAGATTCATGCTCGAAAATATGCCACAATTTTAAACATAAAAAGGAAAAGAGGTTTTAAAGACAAATGATACGATGTAGAAGGACTCAAAGGTACGAACAAGAATATAGAATATAAACAAAATATATATATATATATATATATATATATATATATATATATATATATATATATATATATATATATATATCAAACTACAAAACAGAAAACAAACGTAAGGAGTGGGAAGAGTGCAGAAACATCATAAAAGAAGCAACTGAAGAAGTACTAGGTATAAAAGATATACAAAGAAGAACAAAAACGAATGACTTTATGTCTCACGGTCTTTTTAGTACCTTATTGATCTTCTATTGTGATGCGATAAGGGCTCTGAAGTATTTTGAGTCCGAAAAAGAAACTGGTCAAACTCTATGAACTGTTGCAGCTCCTCATGCTGTGACTTTAAAATCATTCCAATGGCTTTTATATACTTACATTTGAAATACACGATTCCCTTCTCTCCTCTTTCCACTTGGATAGTCTCGTATGTAGCTTTATTGCATTCCAATTTTGGATTCGAAGTGGATTTGTATCCGACGAAACCTTGTTCGCACTTAAGTACCAGAATGGGTCTGTTGACGAGATAGAAGAAGTATTTGCAGGTGTCATCGATAGCGTCTGAGGTAGCGTATAGGTGACCCGAACGTTTCGTGATGACGTATCTGCCGTTGTTGGCTCTGAAGGCAACCGAACCGTCGGTTTGCCAAGAAAGATCGAATAATGCATTTGAAGACCTAAAAAAATAGCAAAAAAAACTATGTAATGAACAGTCAAAACGAAATGATTCTGAAGCTATTTTCTTTTCTACTGTTTTTAATGGGAATTAAACATCAGGGATCGTTACTTACAAATTATTAAAAGGAAATAAAAATACCTTTTATCCCCACAAGCTTGAATTCCGCCTCCAGTTTCAAGAGTCCAGTATTTGTCTTGCATTGTGCGGATGTACCATCTCTTAGTATTCCAATCGAATTCCAGTTGGAAGGTTTCATGGTCGGAAATTTCTTCTTGATTTGCTGTGACGTCAACACCTGTAACAAAAAATAATAAATTTGCAACTTAAATTATTTTGACTGAACATTTTTGACTGTAATTATTATTAAAACTGAAATATACACCTTATAGTCTTTAACTGAATCAGTTAAGCAAGGGAGAGCTGTTTGTCTCAAGTTGGTCATTCAGAAATATATGTGTGTTTTTTAATTAAGGGGTATATAAGCAAAATCCGCAAAGTCACATCTATCAATATTTTCTAGGACTCCTTCGATATTTTGAAATTTCTGTGTGATACACTTGTATTCTAATATAATGTTTTATTAGAAGAATATAAAATAAAAAATATTTCAGCTGCAGTTCAGTATAAAATTGGTTTTAATAATGTACAAGGTGGAATTGCAACAAAATTTAGCAACTTTGCATTGGAAATTCCCGAAAAAATCAGAACAATGTATATTTTTAAAATACACTTCCATAATGCGTAGTTCCACAATGCGTTTCCAATAGTTTAGCAACACTCTGGCCCTTCTTTTTGTCACTTACTCTCCAAGCTTCAAATTTGTCCGGATTAATCCAACGAATATGTTTTCCCTTCTTACAAATATCTTTTGGAACACCAATGGAAGTATTATAGTTGACTTCGACCTAAACTACAATTGTATTATCACCACTATTTTCTTGTGGCATTTTAAATTAATTACTATTTAACTGGGAATAAGCCACAATTAAAGTAAAAATACGTTTATTAAAGATAAAAATAAACGTATTTTTATCTTTAATTGTGGCTTATTCCCAGTTAAATAGTAATTAATTTAAATAATCTTTGGAAAATCTATGTTTTGATAATCTATGGAACAACGCTGAAGCTATAACACTTATTTTTTGGCAAATCTAAATCGATCCATTGATAAGCTGAAACTGTGTCAGAGTTAAGTTTCATCTTCAGTGGAGCACCTAGAATTTTCCTAGGGGGGTTTTGGTTTGGCACCACATTTTTTTTGCTATCTCCATTTTGAGTCCTTAAAATTTGTAAGTAACAGTGTCGGAATATTGCACTGGGGGGGGGAGGTAACCCCCAAAATCCCACGCTCATATTAGAAGTACAATTGAAAAAACTATATTGGGAAGAGAAGTAAGCTCTCTGATCAGGTAACTTAGAAAGAGCTAAGTTTGTTTGACAATCCATTGAAAAAACTTCTCTCTTGCTGCTGTTAGTTTAAGAATTTTGTAAAATATTTTTTTTAATTAAAGTAAAGCATTAAGTTCTTTTTTTGCTCCCCATCTTTTTCCTTACTTAGCTCTTCCTTATATCTTAAACAAATAGAGCATGTGTCTGTGATAGGCGTTCCAAAACCTATATTACAGGGTGTTTCCAAAAAAGGTAACACCGTCTCTAGGGTAGGTAAAAAACTGAAAAATAATTGGGGCTTGCTTAGTAAAAAATTTTTGTAACGCCATCCGTTTTCAAGATACAAGGCGTTGAAGAAAAAAAAATTTACGCATTTTTTATGATTTTGCCGAAACTACTGGCAACATTGTAATGAAATTTTATACGAATATGTTTTGGAAGCTGATACATCCCATGAATTTGTTTTTATATCATAGAGGGCGCTAGTTACACGGATCGTACTAAGTATTAGTCAATATAACTTTTTTAAGAGTATAATTATTATTCAAAATTTCAAGTAGACTTAAACATCATTCATTTTTACACGAAAAAGGTACTCTTGGTAAAACTCGATACTGTGTACCGTTTTCGGAATATTTTGATTTGAAAATTATGAAGTAATATGCCACTTTGCGGGAACGGGTAAATCACGTGTCAATCCAAACGTTTCGCCATTGGTCAGGCCGGACTTGGCGGTCTTTGCAACTAATTTTTTTTTACAAGGCGGGTTTTGCAGCTTAAGCGTATATTCTCCTTTAAATTACTCGGATTTAAGGCGGAATTTGCACCTAAATTATATTTGAACTATTTGTATTTATACATAAAGAACAAATTCCCGTATTTCGAAAATTTCACAAAAATGTGACTTGGCGGGTTTTACATCTAGACCCCCAATTTATTAATTTCCATAGATTAAATTCAAGATAGGCCTTTATTTTGAATATGGAGAATTTGAAATTGATCTTTAAAAGAATGATTATGATCTAGAAGGTGAAATGCGTACGTAATATCTGTTTTTCTATGATTGAATGCCCTTTTGTGTTCTTCTATATGTTTGATGAAAGTTCTACCAGTTTGTCCGATGTAAGTTTTGGGCAGTCATTACATGTAAGTTTCTTACACTACTGTGTAGGTGCTTTTTCTGTTGGCTTTTGTTGTTCTTATTTGCTTAAGTTATTGTTTGTTCTGAAAGCTTGTGTTATTCGTTTCTTTTTTATGTGTTTAGCTATTTTTGTTGATTTCTTGTCTGTATATGTAATGAAGCTAAAAGAATTGGATTTATTTTCTCTGGTGGTGGAAAGACTAGTGGTAGTGTAGGTTTGTGAAATACGGAGAACTCATGTTTGTTTTCAAGTCTTGTAATTTTTAAATTTAGCAAATTTATGGATTGATTTTGTTCTATTTCTATTGTAAACTCAATGCGACTATTAAATAAATTAATGTAAGATAAGAATCGGTCAAGTTGCCTGTTAGTTTCTGTAAATTATACCAGTATATCGTCCACGCATCTTTACCAATATGAAAACTGTTTGAATACGGGATCTTTTAAAATATTTGATTGTAGATGATCCATAATATAGCTTTGTCTTATATCACTTGGAACACACATAGATTTCAAAAACAATTCATAAAGATCTAAAAGAAGTATAATACTAAGAAAATGCATAGGTGGTTGAGGAAAACGTAAATACGAAGATACTCAGAAGAAAGTTTTGTGATCTTAAAAAGGAAATTATAAATCTGAAGGACAAGGAAGATAGTACAACACAAGAACACAAGGTTCCTGGAGATGACCAAATAGTAAAAGAAGCTGTTAAGCTACACGAACAACTCCTGGAAGAAGTAACTGGACTATTTGATCTGTCTACATCAAAGTATACCTAGTCCATACAAAATGGAATAATCTAGAGAATTATAGGCCAATAAGTCTCTTGTCCCATATTTAGAAATGGTTTACCAAAATAATCACAAAACGGTTAAAACGAGAATTAGTTTTGTATCAGCCTAAGAAACAAGCTGGGGTTTGGGGACACTATGGAACACATGAGCACCTATAAGATTTTGTTTATATTACAAAAATATATTAGATATAGTGACTGTTGATTTGAGTTTATCGATTTTGATTCATGTTTTATAATAGTTTTCTTCCTTACAATGCAATTTTCTTTATAATAGCATTTTACGTTCTAAAATGATCAGTCTTGTCCAACTTCCACAAAATATTTCAACACATGGCGTATGATATTTATTTTGTATTTAATGTAAACGTTTACCATATTAATTTTTCTAAACTTGACAGTAACCTGTAATAATTAATTATTAAATATAATTGCATTCAGGTAACACAGTGTGTAGATCGTTCAATAAGCTGTTACACATGTCCTCGTATTACGAAGTGTAATAAATCATAAGTAAAACTGTAGTTATGATGTTTTCTGAAAGATCACAAATTACTAGTTAAACTAGAATGTACCTACTATCAATCAAATCGAGATCTCCAGCATTGCAGAAAATCAAAAAACAAATTTACATGTAGTACTGCTACGTACTAACCATATGTTGATGTAAGATATCACGTACACATCTGTTCCTACTAGTTTTTACAGTTATAGTCGCTACTTCAAAACAATACCGATGTAAAGATATGTATCGTCGAAGAAAAGAAACGAAAATTGATTTAAGTAGTGGTCTTTTTCTCTGCACGACTCCTGGCTATAAATATAAGCGCTTGAAATTAAATTAGGTATCGTGGGGTTACGAGTACACACAGAAAGCACAAATTTATGAGTTATACGCGTTTTACGGTTTTAATAATGAGTAACAATTCTTCTGTACTAATTGGTTTCAAATAAAAAATATCAAAGTCCATATCTTAAGGCATTAAGCCGTAATTGCTGGGAAAATATCAGAAATTACTATTTATGGTAGTTTTTCGTAGTTTAAAACAAGTTTTAACAAACCTTGATCAACAATACACCTATAGATCAAATAATAATCCAACTATTGATACTTACTGTTCAAAGTATATAAACGATAAAAAAATGAATATAATCGGCAATTACAAATTGCTAAAAAGTCAGCTTACTGTAATTTTATTACTAATTCCAATATTAACCTATAAACCTATAATAGAGACTGCTGGAAAATAGAAAATTTCGAAAGAAACAACACAAGATCCAGTTTCGGCATACTCCTTTCATTTTGATATATTTGTTATTATTTGTTGTCTCCTCTCATTTCCATATATTGCGTTTTTGTTTGGTTTATTATTAATCCGTATCTTTTCGCTTCTTTTTCAAATTTCTGGAAAACTTTTTCTAAATGTTTTTGTGTTCTCGTACGCTATGCACTCTTCCCTATTATTGACAATAGTCCTGTTTGTGCTCATATTTGATCTTACGATTTATTTTAATAGGCCCTACTAGGTTAAATAAATTCGTTGATAGTGGATCTCCTTGTTTTAAACCTATATTCACTGTGAACTGTCTTGAAAAGCAGCATTCCAGTGTTATTCTTTTTATCATGTTCCTAAGCATCATTCTAACTAGCCTTGTAAGCTTTTATGGTATTTTTAATGTTCTCATGACATCATATAGCATCGTTCGATTTAGAGAGTTATATGCTTGTTTAAAATCGATAAATAGCATATGTAATCCTAAGTTTTGTTCGCAGCTATTATATTGTATTAATTTTAATCTACTTATTTGATCTGTAGTTGTTTTTCCTGGTCTAAAACCTCCTTGGCATTCTCCAGTCACTTTGTTGTCATATTTTATTAATCTTTTCCTAATAATTTTTGCAAGTATTTAATAGACTGCTTCTAATAATGCTATACCTCTATAGTTTTCGCACTCCGTTTTGTCTCCT